TATCAATATTTCAAGGAAATATTATTTAATATTATATAATAATAATAAAATATTATTAAAATGTTACATTCAATATTCTAAGAATACGCCTAAAATATTACTTAACATTAAATAATATACTTATAGAGTTACTCTTTAAATTATAGATTAATAAGCTATGCATTCTCTATATAATCTTCAACGTTTATACTCCTATTAGAAAGATAACGTAATATATTGAAGCTACGTAAAGTTTTAGATGTTAACAAGAATAACAGCCATCTTTAATCTCATAATAATGCGCAGTCTATACTTATTATTACATACATGTTTCAAATATTAGGATAAAGTCGCCTATTATGATATCTTTTTTTAAAGACATTTTTGTAATTTATTTAATTTGTAATTTGAATTTCTATTTTCATGTCAAATTTATGGAAAATATATTTAAGTTTTATCGCCAAAAGTTAGCAATCGATAATAGCTATACTTTGTTGTATGTGAAATTTTTTATCAAAAATACCGATTTTGATCATTCAAAAAAAAGAGTTTCTAATATGAGATACAAGAATTTTTTCTTGTATGAAATGGTATCAACAGGAAACTAAGGAAAAATAAAGATAAGCTTGTATACACACTTTTATTATATTACATACAAGTAAAAACAAAGAATTAAATGTTATATAATAATTATATAATTTTTCGATGTGTGTGTGAATAATCTTAACAGTCATTTTTAACATTTCGTTCGATAGTGCTTCTAGATACTGAATTGTTTAGATGCTCTCTTATTTAGTTTAGTTAGAAATATCCTGAGTATCTCATATTATGACTTCCAAGCTTTACGGTTTCACAATCATCAAATCTTTACAGTTAAATCATTATATCATGTGTTTTTCTATAAATATGATATTACTTTATCACTGTATGTATCACTGTAGATTTTATTATATAATATTATACCTAATATTTATTTTTATATAATAAAACAAGATTAACCTCAATAAAATTTGACAACATTCAATTTTACAAATCTTTTTTTGCAACGATTACACGCATGATCTAATAATGAATTTCTACTAAACAGGTTTCATAATAGTAAAAAGTTCATGAATTAAATATATATGCTTAGTTAGTAGATTTAGTTTAGTAGAAATTCCACTATCTTATATTAGGAACCTATAATCTCATAATAGGCGACTTTACCCTATCTGTTACTTATTGTCTTAAATTAAAAACTTTTGTGTAAACATCTTTTGCTACTTGTCACAGTCGCGAACATCGGACTACTTTCCACAAAGGCAACACCTTCGTTGATCCCACCTTTCCAATCGTGATGCATCTGCTGGCGGATGCATCCCGCAATTGCCACTTCACGGTCAGTCAAAATTCCCATTCAAATTTTAATGCAAATGCTAGAGGAATCAAACCCATGGAACCGACTGTGGATATTGTGATGCTGGGTTATCCGAGAGACAATGAGAATCAATACCTGAATTTCATAACCAGCGTCGAAGATGATCTGAATTCCAATATGGATTCCTTGACTCTGCACGATGTGAAAAGCACAAAGAACATCAGCGATGTCCATCCTTCAACGATCTCCGGCGAGGGTAGTCTTAAGGAACCCTTGGCCCTTCCAGGAGTTTCTCAAGGTGTCGTGATCGAAGAGGTGGCCAGCTTAGACGAAGTTGTCCCATCGGAGTCGACGAAACCGTCGACCGCACCGAAGACCTCGCTGGATACAAATAGCTCAATGCCATCTGAGGAATGTGCCCTCGAGGACGCGAAGAATGATTTAGGGATATCTCCGAGAACTACGGGTACAACGGAAGACCGGAAACAAGAAGCTGAAGGACAAGAGTCTGATCGCAACCTTGAGAGTGTTGAAGACAGCGATTTACACAGCGACGATGCAAATAAAAATTTTAACGAGTTCTCTGGCAATAGCCGTGAGCACAGGGAAGAAGAGAAGGATAAAACGTGAATATATTCATGAATCATGTATTCGTGGAGACGTGTAGGTTGACATGAGCAGGAGGTCGCGAATTGTATGATCGGCCATTTAATTCCTCCCGTTAAAATCGTTAGGAATTTGCAAGACATGATTGTTGTGACAATGATTGTTAGAATTCCATTAAGATATTTTGCAAGAAGCATTTGCGTTTTATATTATTCTTAACACAAAATTCAGAATGTTTGTTTGTTTGTTTGTTTATGTAGAAATAAATAGACGGGAATAGTACGAGAAGGATATCATTCAGGAATAGTATTACTGTACACGAAAAAAATTATGCACATAGTGCTCAATTACTAATTTATATACGAGGGACATACAACGAGCTCTAAAGTCACAATTTTGCTACACAATACAAGCAAACAGTCTCTTTTTCTGCTTTTTAGTTTGAAATTATATTGTCTATCTTTGTATATGCAAAGAGCATCAAATAAATTGCATATATAAGATAACTCAATTCGCTTTCACTTTAGAATATCTACTATAAAAAATATTTAATCCAATTAATAAATATTGATAGCTGTAACTTACAAATTAAGTATATTCTTAGTAATAAGATACTTCTAAAGTCTTTACTGCACAATTATGGCCTATGAATTAATTACAAGTTAACTGTGACGCAAAAATCTTAAATTGATGGAAATAATTGCTCGTTTTACTAATATTTCGATTAGGATAACTTATTATTTAGTCCTGGCTCCTAGAAAATCGAAAATGCAAAAGCGAAAATGCAAAAGTGAATATACAGTATAGAGAAATTTCATCACAGTGAAATGTTTTGTATTCTTTGAATTTCTGTAATTGGCTGTTAATTGCGTCCGTAATAATCAAAAAGCTTCGAAATCGAGCTGACAATGTTTTGCATTTGGATCACGCAGAATTAATGCAAGCAGCTCGGATACAGACCTTGGTACATATTTTTAGTGCCCGCCGCGATCTAAAGAGAGAAAGAGAAGAGAGAAAGAGACGAATGACGATCAGTATCGTGGTCGTCTCGAGCGTCCAGTGAGCGGGGATCCAAGGTAAGGGCACGACGTCGCAGTGACGTCATCGAGCGTCGCGACGACGACGCCGTCGCTGTCGCCGCCACTCGCTATAACACGCGTGCAGGCATCACCGCGATCAGTCGCAACAATCGTTTTTTTTCTTTTCTTTCTTTCATAGTGATCGTCGTGTATATCATCGTTTCCAAATTCTGTCACGCTCGCTAATAGTCACGAGCAATCTGCTACCGCAGCTTTGTCACGTACGTCTAGTATCTTTGAAAGGTAAGCGAAATCAGCATTCGCGAGTGCAGCTGCAGATAGATTGCTTCGTTCTGAGAAAGTTTTCGAGACGATATCTTTATCGCATTCTTTTGCTTCACCTTTTTTAATTGATACTTAAGTTATCTACGTATTTTTAAATATGTACAATTTGGCCTTCGATTTGATTGCTTTTCACAGTCATGAAAATGACATTAATGAACATTGAAAATGATGAAATTGATTTTTCTTTTAAAGAGAGACTTTAATTAATAGAAAATGTGTCTGCCATTTTAATGTCTATATTATATTAGAATTTGCAAACTTTCTAGCTATTAATATTATTATCGATAAATTGCACAGTGAAGATCTCTCTCTCTCTCTCTCTCTCTCTCTCTCTCTTTCTCTCTCGCTCTTTATTTTATATTTTTATAAAACGTTTTATAGAATTAGTTTTATCTAAAAATTTTATATCGATTAAAATATTATTTAATATCGCCTAACAAAAATAACATATCTTCTACTTCTCTATCTCTTTGGGAAATGTTTAAGATCACCGTGCAATTTTCATTTGTGAAATTGATATCCCAATATAATCTAAACTAATATAAACTAATATAAAGAATAACAATATATTCATATTAATTAACAAACAGAAATATCAATTATAAATATAATTTACAAAAACATTTTGTTAGACACGAAATATATGTGATAGAGAACGAGAGAAACGCGTCATATGTACGCGCGAAATCTAGTGGGATCGTTATCGATGTCCGAGCTGGCCGATTGGATGACGCGTATCCGAGCGAGTATATTTTCGTGATGATGAGCATCGGTGAAGAGTTATGCGCGAATACGCAGAGATCAAACAGCGGACGCAAACAAATTGGAATGTTCTTGGCCGCACGCGCGCGGACTTTCGTCGACACTCTCGCGAGCATCAATCATCAATCAGCGTATATTAGCCTCAGGACGACGAATTCGCTGTGACGCGCATGTCGACCGCACTCACGAGACCAAAATTAATGTTATCCCAGGCGTATTACGAACACTTTGCGAGCTCCCCAATACAGCGTTCTCCCCTGACATGACGCGATCAATCAAGCCGCAAATGGAAGAATAAATGTCCGAATGGTACTTGAACAAGTGTATTATATAAAGTTCTCTAAATTAAATTGCTTATATTATATTTCTCAATGAATGAGCATATCGCTCAGGAACAGAATAAACCGAAAATTGAAAATACTCTAAGAATGAAAAAATATTCTGGTACTTGATTAAATTTAATGTAACGTAGTAACAATTTTTTCATAAATCCTGTATAATTCTTTTTTTTTACTTGATTATAAAACAGATAATGTATAACGTAATAATAAAAAATAGCATACATACACTGAGAGAAAAATGTATTAGATTTTAATAAATAATTATTTGAGTAGCACTAATATAACATATATTTACGGAAAATTAATATTTGCTAGATAAAATATAATATTAATAGGTAAATCAAATCAATGGTTCTTGTACCAAATAAATATATGTTTACATTTAATAAATATTTAACTGGCACTATTCAAACAAATATTTATTAAAATTCAATACATTTTTCTCTCAGTGTATAAAAAGTAAGATAAATTCTTTCATAATGAGATAAAAACGTATTTAAAAAGAAAAAAAATAAAAATAATTTATGGCTTCACGGTTTTATGGTAATTCAAATTGCTCCCGAACTGCATTCTTTCTCCAGTTTTCTCGCAAAGCGAAGATCCAGCACGTTCGCGTTTTTAGCTTCATTTAAAAGCGCGCGAAGGTCGTCCCGCAGCTATCGGATGATCAGCGCTCACCCTCTGCCAACTTTGTACGAAATTAACCCATCCTCGGATACGTGAAATAAGAAGGTGATCGACGATTCGGAGAAACCGAACGGGCCTCTTTCGCCGGCGGGTTATCATCGCAGAACGCATGCGTGATAGATCCATCTTTCGTCCGAGGCGGATAAACCGCGCTTGCTGAGTTAACTCAGCTAACATGTACCTCTTTGTCGTGCGTTCGTTGCGCATCAGTTTCCCGTTCCGCTTCTGGCTAGGAGGACGCGCGATAAGGAGATCGCGGAAGTGAGCGCAAAAGTGTTCTGCTAAGAAGAGCGATCGTATCTTTTTCGTGAGATAAAATTCCCCCTCCCTAGAGAATCGGAAAGATCTTGTTTCACCTGTTCTCTATCGATCAATCATCGTGGAGAACATCGATTTTACTAAAGACTGTTTTCATAATTATTTTTTGTTTTCATAATTATTCATTTCGCAGATGTCTATCGATTGATATTGGGATTTCCCAGAAGATTCCTGAAATAAGGGAGACCTGGTTTTCTTTCTGAAGAAAATTTTTGACTGAGAAGAAAGCCACTCTTTTTTTTTGGTCATTAATATATTTATAGTTGATTGAAGCTATCCTGAGGTGGTTATCTGTCCTATTTCCGCTAGCGAGATTATAAATAATCAAGGGATTATCCTGTCTGCAAGATTACTCACTTCCGTTTTGGAACAAATCTTTAAATATATCTTCTATAAATCTTCATTCGGTTTTTCATTCGGAAACCATTCCGATAAATCGTCAGGGGAAATAGTCTGTTCTTTCGGGAATGATCTTTACAAATAATCAAAAATAACCTGAATTGTTTTCACTCTTGGAATCGATCTTTATAAATAAGCCGTGAAGGTACACGAATCTCTCCGGAAACGATTTTTGTAAGCAATCCGGGAAAACGCCGAAATTTTTGCGGAGTCGGCCTTCGTGAAACACCTTGGAGAACTCGGAATTTTACGAACGAACTGTAACGACCGAGACACGGAGCTTCGCATAATCGGCTTAGAACTCCGTTCATGTCGCAGACTTCGAAGGAGGACGCCGACGCGATGAAGGCTAATACCGCGGCGACGAAGATCCAAGCCAATTTCCGTGGATACCGCGTGCGCAAGCAGTTGAAGGAATCTACGCAGCGCCGTCGTCAACAACAGCAGAATCAGCAAGACCAGAAGCGGAACCAGCAGCAACAGCAGGAACATATGAAGCCGAAGGAGCATCTGCTGAAGAGACAGAGCACTCAGGAGGCACTCGAGGAAAAATCGGCGACGAAGATCCAGGCGGGCATTCGCGGTTTCCTGGTGCGAAAGAGACAGCAGGCCGTTCAGGCCGCGGCAACGAGGATCCAAGCCGGCTTCCGTGGCTTCAGGACGCGGAAACTGCTGAAGCAAAATGGCCAATAAGCTGTTCTTCCTGGTGTGAGAGACGACGTGGGACGTTGACGTGTGCAAGAGGTTCTCCCCGTTTATGTCTCGTGATTGCGCTGACGTAAATTAGAACTTGTTACTGATGTGATGCATTTGCTGCAAGGCTGAGTAGAAAATGTGATAATTACTTCGATCTACATATATATTTCCGTTTCTCTTAAGATCTAACAGAATTATACTTGGCTATTGAATAAATTTTTTTGTGTGAATCTCTGAAATGTCTGGAATGTGTCTTTCTAACTTATATAATGCTATCAGATGAGTATTGCAAAATTAATCATTTTGAAATATATGTTAACAAATTTTTCCAAAAATGTTTTAATTTAACACACCTAAGACATGC